AAATTTATATTTATCTAAAAATGCTCAATGTTTTTTTGCCAGTATCGCGAATCAATATCTTCTTTCTTAAATAAATAATATCATTAAAGATGAAACTACAATATTTTTCGGATCGTTAGTGCTTTTAATGGTGTGGCTTAGGGATTGAGAAATCTTGACATAATTATTTTTATTTATAAATTTTGTGAAAACATCGTAATCTGCTTGATATAACTTATTATTTCTTTTATAAATTTTTATGAATTTGTATAAATCTTTCAAAACTTCTACTATAAGTAAACTGAAAGAACTGAAGAAATAGAATTGTGTAAAATTATTTAAACTATTTAAATTAAACATCATTTAACTCATAATCAATGATCATTTATAAAACTAATTAATTCGTTTTCTTTTTTTAGTAATTCGTAAATTAAATAGGCAAGCAAAATTAGGCAATAGGAGAAGAGAATATATTAAAATAGATACTCGCATTTATTTGTGAACTTTACTGATTAATACACTACTGATGTCATTTACGTTGGCATATAATATTTAACTAACATAATCATTATGAATATAATAAATTGTTAAAAGCGTGAGTAGCAACGATAATACAACGATAATAGGAAGATCTAGAAGAACTTGATTTTAGTCGCTAGAATACAAATTTGTGTCAATAGTCCGCATCGTATTGTTAAATAGAGAGCTGAGGTAATTTTACTGAAATTTTAAACTGATTAGCAAACTCACTTAACTGGTTCTCCGATATAGATAAGCTTATATCTGAGATAATGCATAAAGGCCTTGATTAATATTACATACAAGATGTTGCAGTTGACGAGTTAGTAAAAACTTGCAGTTATGACCTCACATCTCACATTTAGTCTTACATTTAGTGTTAAAACTTAAATTTCCTTAGTCACTCTGTATTTTCAGCATATTTATATTACTTAGCAGATAAATAAACAAACTAAGTTAGCTACTTTCACATTTCTTTTTACGCTTCTATATAGTATAACTAGTATATAGGGCCACACCTTGTTGCAAAAAAAGCAAGACCAACGTTCGTTTTGACTTTTACATTAATTTTCTATGCGTTTAATGTAAATAATTTATTTAGCGGCTTATTTGATGTAAAAGTCATATTATTTATTTATATATTTTTTTTTTTGCAATTCATACTAATATTTCTTGACCTCAAGTAAGTGTAATTTGACACTATTTTGAAATTTGTTTATTACATGAAGCGTTAATTTCTTAGCTCATACGTGCGCTTGCGTGAAGGCAGTAAAACGAGAGCGGTTTATATTGATCGGTTGGTTCAAGATTTGAAAAGCTAAGAAAGATCGAATTTTAACTACTTTCAGTTACGCATTAATAATTTTCTAATGTAAATGTCAATATACTATGATGTGTAGTTATTTAAACATAAATGTGAATGGGTATTGATTCACATTATTAAGTAACCAAAAAACAAGTAAAAAAATAAAGAAAATGGATATCCGATCACAACTTACAATGAAAAAGTAGACTATATTCGCTTAAACCGGTATCTCCCACCGGTATTCAAAAATGAAAATCTCAATGCTAAGAACAGGAAACTGGTATATAACCAAATAATTCAACCGTCACTTCTATATGGATGTGTAGCGTTAAGCAAAAACTCAAACACTACTATTCGCCAGCTAGAAATTGCACAAAACCAAGATCAAAGAAGACTTTTCAAGGTATCATGGTACATAAGGACAAATGACATCCTCAAGGAGCTCAAAATTGCTCCAATTAAAAAATACATAAAGGAAAGAGCTCTGAAATTATTTCCGAAAACTAACAGGCTTACCAACACCGCGTTATCGAATCTTAGAATGGTTACAGGCTCATCACGGAGGTATACAGATTTGAGGTCAGTTATTATTTAGTCTGATGAAGTGATAAACAATAATCCAGTTAAGGCGAAGAGAGGGATTATGAAGCAACCTCGCTATTAATAGAGAGTAAAAGTGCTCAAGTGCACTGACTCAACTAGCCTCAACATAATAATATGGTATATCAATATGATGTGGATGAATTCAGTTTGCTCTTGTGTCTATTCTTTAAATATAGGAAAGCATTTAAGTTAGTCATGAAATTGTTTTATGAAACAATCAATATTTAAATAAATATAATAGTTGTATTTGGTGAACAAAATATATAGTGAGTAAATATAATAGAATAATATACTACATTACATCAATACCTGCATGAGCGTTGTTAAACATAGATAAAGCCAAAATTACAAGAGATATATATTTTTTGATATAGATATTATGTATACAAACATTGCCAATATTTCGGAAAAACCTTTAACAACACTAATGATACATATATACATATACATACAAGAGACAAAACACAATGAAAACGCTATTCTCTAACACTTAATCGAAAATAGACACTTTAGATAAACATAATATGGTTTATCAAATCAAATGCAAAGGTGATGGATCCAACATAAGCAACCAAGTATATGTTGGTATAACAAAAAACAAGTTAAAGACTCGTATAGCCGGAAATAAACACAGCTTGTTCTACAAACTCCTAGTGACATTAGACTCAATTACAAAACTGACATACACTCAGGTGTATGAAAAAAACCTTCAACAAATCCGGAAGAGGATAAATATATCATTCCTCTATATATGCATTATATATACACATTATATATTTTTTATATATATTATTATAGTATTGTATAATTATTTTCTATATATATATATAATTCATATTTAAATGTTAATGTATTCTATAATTGTTTCTTTGTGTTATATACTAAAATATTGTATCATTTTATTAATATTATTAAGTACCCTGATGATGATTATAGTTTATAATCGAAATATCGGTTAAAATAAAATCTTTTAAAAACAAAAAATTTATTATTTAATTACTAACTAATTAGCCCTTTAAAAAACAAAATTATTATTAAAACTATTTAGTCATTAAAACAAAAAAAAAGTGATTTAAAATATTTTTAAAATTTTTTTTAATAAAAAATTGAATAAAGTTGATGTTTATAAGCACACTTAACAGAATTTTGCAGGGCTTAATTAGCACTTTTAAAATATATGAGACGGTTTAAGTACGCATTTATAAATGCATGTGCAACTAAAACACTTCGCATTAATGCGTGTTAAAGTATCGTATAAACGGGGTATAATTTTACGTTAATTAACTTTATTATATTTTATCAATATATAAAGTGGAAAATATTATTATTATTATTATAATAATTATTATTATTATAATTATTATTATTATTATTATTATTATTATTATTATTATGAATATTATTATGAATATTATTCTGAATATTATTATTAATATTATTATTAATATTATAATTAATATTATTATTATTAATATTATTATTATTAATACTATTATTATTAATATTATTATTATTAACACTATTATTATTTATATTATTATTATTAATACTATTATTATTAATACTATTATTATTAATATTATTTTTATTAATATAATTATTATTAATATTATTATTAATATTATTATTATTAATATTATTAGTATTAATATTATTATTATTTTTATTAATATTATTATTATTATTAATATTATTATTGATATTATTATTATTAATATTATTATTAATATTAATACCCCTACACAACAATAGGAAGTGTTCTACTAAATTTCATTAAGTGTAACATTTTAATATACAGTAGAACTTTTCTATAACACAACCACAGGAAGTGTTGCAATCTATTTTAGTGAGTGTATCATTTTAATATAGAAAGAACTTCTCTATGATAAAGTGTTTTACTGATCTCGCAAACTTCTTTATGTAGAAGTTCGACTATAAACCGATACCTGAAGCTCTTGAGACATATTGTCCAGCAAATAATAGCCTAATACAGCAACAGGAAGTGTTGCAATCTATTTTAGTGAGTGTATCATTTTAATAAAGAGTAGAACTACTCTATAATAAAGTATTTTACCGGTCTAGAAGCCGGTGTAGAAGTTCGACTAAAAACCGATACGTTAAGCTTTTAACGTATAGCCTTTTTAATAGTACAACTTAATAAAAGAGATGAGTTGGTGAAACAAATAAACGCTTATGTCAAATTCTTTACTTAATGCTTTCACAAAAATTTACAAAATTGTCAGAAAAACTTTTAAGTGAAATTTAAAGATACATTTTTTTTTGTAAAGAATTTGCATAAAACATATGCTAAAATGTTTATATTTGTATTAACTTTTATTTGCTGAAATTTCACAAAGTGATTATTCCAATTACTAAACTTGTTATCTGTGATTTATTTCCATTATTAAAAAAATAGATACGCACTCAAAAAAAAAAAAATTAAACATTTTTAACTAACTTTATAATTATTTTAAATTATTTTCGTTGATATTTTTTAATCTTTCTAATGAAAATGAAATATTGTTGTTGCGTAGAAATAATAGGATTTTTAAGGTGATTAGTTAAATGTTTTTAAGTGAAAATTAGCCAAAAATTACGTGCAAAGTGGAATAAGTGGCAAAAAAACCGAATTTTCCCACCTAAAATTGTTACACAATACTAAAGTTTTAGGAGAAAAAAACAGATTTTATTTTCAAGAAGATAATTTGCTTTGAAAGTAACATAATTAAATTGTATGATTTGGTGTTAAATGAAATTTGCCGTTAGGAAAGATACAAAATCACGACGGCTGTTGCGGCGATGACAATGTACTATAAGTACTATAAGTACAATTAAGTTAAAATTAAATTGTTATTTAGCAATAAATTGTTTAAAATTCTACGCTAAAATGTGTTAACAATAAAAACAGAATTAAATCATATTTAAGCATGTTAAAGTAAAGTACAAAATAAAATTTAAGTGATAATAAAAATTAGAAAAATCGTATAAATATGTGTATATAAGAAAAGAGAGACTTAAAATAGCAAAAAAAAAAAAAAACGTTAAAATATAAATAAATAAATAAATACATAAAAGAAAAATTATTAAATTTTACCTGTGTACGTTGAATTTATTGAACTCAAGTTGTCATCGCTTTCACGACTCATGCTGTTTGTATCTGCAAGATAAAGAAAAAAAGCGCAAAAATGCAAACAATAAGCAAACGAAAAAACTGATCAAAATATACAATGCACACAAATAATAGTAATAATAATAATAATAATAAATAAATTAATGAAATTTAATTTAAGTAAAATGAAAATAAAAATAAAAATATTGGCAACAAACACACTATAAAAAGTTTCAACATGCTAGCAAAGTAGGTATTGATACTTTGTTTGATAAAAGGTTTTTAGCACGGAATTATTAAACAATTAAGGCTGCAATTAAAAATACTTAAGGCCGAACAAGTTAATATAGCATACATCACGTTAATGAAATTAATTATAAACTGTGACACACTAGTGCGCAGCTTTGCGGCCTCGAGGCTTTGAAGTACAGTTCGATGCCGTTTCAAGACAACGCTCCAATAGCACAACTGCAACTGCCGGAGATTCGTTCAGGAAGTTAAAACTGTCTGAAACTGTTAACAAGTCAAGCAATTCAAGTCAAGCAGTTAGGTACAAATGCGTTTATAGACGAAGTATACAGACATTTCACAAGACATTTAGTTATCTTATCTGATTTTGTACTTTAATTTGGCAAATTAAAACATTTTTTGTCCATGTAAATATACTTTTAACATGTACTCAATAAAACATATATAATTAGAAAATATTTCTTATTTTAACATTTAATATTTGTTTAAAAAATTTTTATATTTTTTCTAAATAAATTTTCAATTGCTAGGTGAAAAAAGCACTTTTTTAAAAGCCAATTAATCGTAAAATTAGTGTAGACTGATTTCATGCACTTCAACTTAATTCAGCGATTCCACAATTGCCAAGAACCCTACCCCAAAATCGGCGAGCATACCGGCTTAGCCAACATGCCATGAACGGCTTCTGAAAGCGCTAAATTACCAACATATCTACCCATCGATGTTGTGGAAGTTTTACGCAACAATATTGGTTTAAGAATCTAGTAACTTAGAATCTAAGAAATGTAAGTTAGTGATAAACTACAACATTTAATATCTCTTCATTAAAATATCTGCACCTACATTTGTGTGTGGTCATTGTAGTCCTCAGATATCTATAAAATAGATAACATTAAATGAATTACAAAGACGTATATCTAGGCTAGAATATGAATAGGTGGTGATAGTGTGAGATTAGAAGAAGATGATACAGGAGTTAGAATGGATTAGGTATAGGTAATATCTTGACCTGTTTTGTTTATTTGAAAAGCAGTTAGAAACATTTTCTGATAATAATTGAATACAAACAGATAAGATAAATAGTGATTAAACTGTGTTCTCTGATATATTTAAACAAAAAAACATGACAATATATTGATTGTTTACTGAAATGAGAATACATAAGGATATTGGTATTGGCTTTTCTCTCAGCAAAGTATTTATATTCGTTGTATATAAGTACTAATACAGTCTAAAAAGCAGAAAAGATGGATTAGACTGTACATTTACCAAAAACCGATAGGTAACAGGAATGGGGTCATTTAAAAAACTTGTAAGTTAACTTAATGGTGATGGTGATCTAGACAGAGAAAGTGTTTGCAATATTTTATGCTCATCTCAGAAATCTTTTCTGGATTTCTCTTGGCTATTGATATTGGCCTTTGATAGTCTGCTAAGTGGAAATGTCGCAGAAAGACCTATAAAGAGTTTAAGCTGTATAGGTATTCAAACGAGTTATTAGCTGTTACCTAATTATACAATTGTACTTTATTCATATAAGCCAACTAAGATACTTTTTATAGTTTCGAATTAACAACTTAAATTTGATGATTTAAGATTGGAGAGACTTTAAATCAACATGACTATTCAAATTTAATATTATGCTAGAAATTTTTTATTATATTTTGAGGCATTCCAAATAACAGATTTCTTAATTCCTGACACTAACAGTCTTACAATTTTATAGGAACAATTAAACCAATAAATATTACTAAAGAACACTGATCTTAAATATCTGGCGGTATATAAAACAGATATATGGTCAGCACAAGTATTCACTACAGTAAAAATCATACATTTCGATTTAAAAATTTCCTGTCAACACTTTGTCTTAAAATATTTAAAGATAGATATCTTGTTATAATATATATGTATACATATATAGTTTTATTTTATGTGTACATTTAGTAAAATGGAACTAACTATTCATCATCACTATATATGTATGTGTGTGGATATTTTGAAGTCTTGCTACTTGAGAGCAACTAAAATTTTATAGGTGTGAAAAATTAAGCAAAGCTTGAGTGTGTTAAAACTGAAAATGGTACAGTAAACATTACAGAGCAATTACAGAATGTAAATAAAAATGTTAAATGTATTTGTTAATCTGAGGCAATGTCATAAGTTTGTTTAAACAATAGTTAATTAGGTATTCATTTTTACTTACAATTGTACATATTTAATTAGCAATTTGCTCAAGTAGTTAAGTAGTAAAATATGTAGTAAAATATGTGAAAAACGAAACCGTAAAAATTTAATTGTTAAAATTTCAATTAAAAAAAAACCAATAACAAAAAGAACACGAAACTTCATTATGAAATAAATTTACACAATTCACACGTATTATTGCAATTCCATTTCTATATTGCAATGACTTGAGATATTGCAATTTGCTACTTTTAAAAATAGCAAATTAATGATAATATTTTGTTACTACTTGAAAATGTAATTTCATTCAAAACTTTTAAACAAAACACAGAAAATGTTTAAATATTAATAAGAAATATGTGTTAATTTTAAAAATATTCCAAGAAAAATATATATTTTCTAATATTTTACAGTATTTTGTAATTGAAAAAAAAAAATGTTATTTACATTTTAAAAAAAACATCAAACAACAAATTAGCTAACATTTCAAATGATGCTCACCGGTAAACAACTTAATTATAGTTTATAAAATTAAGAATATATTTATTAAAAAAATTAAAGTGTTTAAAACATTTGTTAACAATTTTTGTTTTAATTTTGTTAATTTTTCGAAACGCAGAAATGGCTATTATGCTTAAAAACCAGCTAGCAGATACAATCAATAATGATTTTGTGAATATAATATGGCAAAATTGGTTAAAAAATCAAAATTAATAATATTTCATATTATTAGGTGGGCGTTACATATGCAAAATATAATAAATTGTTATAATATATTAAATAATATATAATTGTATTGAATATGTAATGAGTTTGAATTTAACTCATTCCGTTGATCGACAATATTTAAATTTATAATTGACTAAATTTTAATCATTCAATTAGTAAAACATTAAATTAAGACAAGCACTTAAAACATAACTACAAACCTGTAAATGTTTTAACTATAGATTACCTTCTGATGTATTACACTATCGAAACACTAATTAAAATTAACAGAGTCATTAACAGCGTTTGAATTATGTTACTGTAAATAATTAGAATTATGCCTGTTAATTTATTGTAACTGTTGTAAGGTGCTTATTTGCTTTCGTTCTTAACACTGCATTAAAAAAATTGTTACATACATAAAAACTAGTATATAATGTTACTAAAAATGCTTAAATTTACAATTTAATTTAATAATGCTTTTTATATATTTTTTTTTCGGCTATAGATTACTTTTTATTAAATAATTCAACATATTTAATATATTTTAGTATATTCTATATTTCGTCTCTCCTTGAGAGTCATCATAAGGATCACGATCTAACTTAAATTAATATTAATAAAACTATATCTATGTCATCCTCTTTATTCTATCGTCTATATTGCAGTGCAATGTAGACCTAATTATAAACTGCACTGCAATATAGACAATAGAATAAAGAGCATGACTCTCAAGGAGAGTCGAAATATAGAATATATTAAAAAATATTAAACAAACGTTGCATTGTTTAATAAAAAAATGACCTATAGCCAGATAAAAATAATATATATAAACTATTATTAAAAAACAGGTCGATAAATAATATAATATCTAATATATATTAATATAATATTAATATAATATCTAATTAAAAGTAGCATCTCTTCGTTATTAACATTATATTTTTAAATATAATGTTTAAATTATATAATGATATATCATATCAAAAAATAAAATATTTCAAGGAGTCGAAATATAGAATATGTTAAATAATATTAAACAAATGTTGCATTGTTTAATAAAAAAATAACCTATAGCCAGATAAAAATAATATATAAAAACTATTATTAAAAAACAAGTCGATAAAGAAATTAAAAATTTTATAATTTAATTTAATATAATATCCAATAAAAAGTAGCATCTTTTCATTATTAACATTATATTATTAAATATAATTTTTAGAAGGGTTTTCGAATAACAAAGAAAGAAATAAAGGACAAACACAAAAATTTATTTTTTTTTTTTAATTTTATTGAAATTTGGCTGACCATACAACGCTGTTTCGAGTATTGCCAAGTACTCTTCATCAGTGGTCTTTGGGAATAATCGAATTTTATTTAATTAGTTTATAGTCCGTATACAATTTGTTTGGACTGCAAGTGCCAGGCTTAGAACTCGTGCCTGTCAAATTAGAAGCGATGACTAATCGTGTTTATCCACAAGAAGCCAAGGCTGCACAAACTTTCAATGCTCAAGTTCCAGGTTTTATTGTCACTTATTTTTATTTAATTAGTGACAACAACCAACGCACTTGCCGTGCTTTTTAAATAAGAACGAGCTTATAAACTTCAGCTTTATTTTTAGAAACACAAGTTCAGCGAATTGAAAGTTTAACTTTTGGGTTTTGCCTATTTCTTTATTTCTTTTCAAAGCTACTCTTTTTGTAGAGACATTTTGTAATGCATATTGTTTTACTTACTATATGTAAAGCGACCATTTTGGTGCTTTTTACAAAGAAGCTATGCTATGTTATTCTACAAATCCGCTTTCGCGGTTAGGAAAAGTTGAACAATATTATATTTTAACATATTGTTCTTTACTTTTCACAAGCCTAATATTTGAATAAAGTATTAGTGTTGC